TAGAAGCTACCCGCTACCGCTACTTTTGCCAAACAGGACCATATAGCCTATAATATTTACTTTCCATTTTAGCGATTATATTTTTTTCATATGCACTCAAACGAAATATTTTTGAAAGTATATTTTTATAGCAATTCTATTTTTTTTAGCATATAATTGTTAAATTAATGTAGTAATTTACTATATAAGTTATTAAAATCCGTGCATTGTGCGGGACTTTAACTAGTTTTTTTTTTCTAAAATTCTATCCAAATAGAATTCTATACTAACTTTTTTATCTTAGGAAGTCTATTTAAATCTATCTAATGTGGCGCGACAATTGACGAAAAGTTAGAACGTCAAGTGTCGTTGTCTCGTGACATGACTAAAAGTTTAGCTTTATATATTAGTTATACTTCCTCCGTTCTTTTATTATTGCACCACTTACCTTTTTAGGAAGTTTTACAAATATTGCACCATTTCCTCTTTAGGAAAAAAAAATTATTTGTTTTCACACTACAAATACCCAACATACCCTTGTTTTTTCACACTTACTTTTTAGTTTATCAATATGTCACATGGGCAATTTTGTATTTTTACCTTTCTCTCTCTTATTTTTTTCCACTACCAAAATATTTGTATCCAACCTCTATGGTGCAATAATAAAAAAACGGAGGAAGTATATGATATGATATAACCCTTCGTATTCCTATTCAAATAAATCATAATTTTATAGAGCTATCAAATCAGATATTTGGATCGAGTATGGATTACTCTTTCTTTAACCCCACTATATATATATATATATATATATATATATATATATATATATATATATATATATATATAACCCTCTCCCTCTTCATAAATAATCTTTCACCTTATATTCCCAGAAACCTTTGGGCTTGAATTTATTTTCTCTCACCTCCCAAAAATTATAAAATCAACCCTTGGGCTAATACTGTGGGTGATCACTGTCTCGCCTTCAAACCCTTTTTTCTTGCAACAATTCTACTAAGTCGGTGTAATTTAAGCTGAATTTTTCTGGGTCGGTCTGATTCTTGCATAATTTTTCTGGGTTTTTGATTTTCAGAAGAATTATTTTGGTTGGTTTATGGTGGGATGATGGAAAATAATAACTATAATTATAATAATCGTACTTACTGGAAGAAGAAACCAAAGGCAGAGAATTTCAATGGCGGTTCATGGTCGAGATCACAGAACAACAACAGGAAGCCTTCTTTTGGCAACGGTAATTTGTCAGACTTTCTATTTTTGATATTTTCTGTTTTTATTGTCAGATAATTTGAAGTTTCTTATAATTAAAATACAATTATTTGGGTGTTTGTTATTTGATTTTGAACTTTGCTCAATTAAATTGAATGTGGGTTTCTTGATTTCCCCTTTCTTTTTTTTAATTGAGATTATCAATTAAGGTTTAGCTAATTTCGTAATTATCGTAATCAAATCCCGTCTACATTATTGCCCTTGCGACTCTATATAGTTAATAGACCAAAACAATCAATTCAAATAAATATCTACTGAATTTAGGAACCTTATAATTAGAGTAACATACTAACATCAAATTAATTGACTTACTTTTATCTTAATTTTGTCTATATTCTTAATCTTTTGTGTTAAATTAGGAAATGTTGTGTTGAGTGTCTGACATTGATATATAAGGAAGATTTTATTTGATTTATGTTCTACTTGTTTTTTATTTATTTATATGAAAAAGCAAGGAATAAAGTCTTGGGAATCTTTTTGTACACTATTTTTGGTGTATATGTTGTATATTTCCTTACACACAACCTTTGTATGTTCTATAAAGGGGTGAAACACTAAAAATACCTATGAAACCAATAAACTTTTGTGTTTGATGGAGAGAGCAACTTATGATATGGAATAAATGGCTTTGTAATCATATATCATCATTTTGGAAACCCTAGCCTAGTTGAGCAATGCTACATGAGAATGCTATGAAATTCGGCACATTGTAGGGCGGTTACGACTGTTATCATTAAGGTAGCTTTAGTAGGATGGCCTTAACCAGCAATAAAAACGCGCTGGTCCATTCCCTTTGAGTGATGATCATTATCATGGACCGTGTTATTACATGACTTGATCAATGAGGTCCTAAATTTTAAGTCTTTTACGTTAAGCAAGTTATATAGATTAGATTGTAGTATGCTAACAAAGAGGGTAGTTAAAGCATGTTTTGTGCATTATAGATGCTCCAAATGAATTTGCATTATAGCGAATTGGTGTCCTAATTTAGATGTATGATGGGGTAGGACTTTTTTGCCTTATGCTGCTTCTATTAATATTTATTTGATTCATTAGTTGAAACTTGAACTAGTTGATCAAATGAATTGGATTACTCTAAGGTCTCTTTTTCTTTTTATCTACTCCATAGAATAGTGCTCAACCTCCACTTTATTCTGTAGGTGGGCGGCAGCAGTCTACGCTTTCACTGGAGAAGAAATTCTGTGCAGTGGTAGGAAGAGTATCATGGAAAAAGATATTGCATACACAAAAATACATGTTCCAAGATGAAAAGATAATAAACTGGAAGGACTCTGCTGTAGAGGAGGCTTTTTGGAATGCTAAGAAGCGGTTTTTGGCAGATGCACTTGGCCGTCCTTGTGACATAGAACTACCTGATCCTGACATCTTCATCGACAACATTGACTGGGATTCCAATGTCGATCCCCGTCTCTTATTAGACTTGGAAAAGAGAGATTCAGATATTTCTTGTGAGACAGATCAAAAGAACAGTAGTGGTGTAGTTGTGGGGATTCCTGTGGTACCGGAGCAATATGTTTTAAGCCCTATGGGTTGGGGAGATGCTGAAGAGGAGGATCCACAATTAAATAATCCTGAAAAGCATGACAGTGTGAATAATGCAGAGAAAGGTTGCTCAAATAAAGGTTGGGAAGATGATAATTATGGCCATTGGGGTGACAACATTGCGAACAACGCAGAGAAAGGTTGCTCAAATAATGGCTGGGTGGCTGATTTTGATAATTGGGGTGACAGAAATATGAACAATGCAGAGAAAGGTTGCACAAATAATGGTTGGGAAGATAATTACTATGGCCATTGGGGTGACAAGATTGTGAATAACGCAGAGAAAGGTTGCTCGAATAATGGTTGGGAGGCTGATTATGATCGTTGGGGTGACAGCAATGTGAACAATGCAAAGAAAGGTTGCTTGAATAATGGCTGGGATAATAGTTTTGTTTACGTTGCTAATGATATGGTTCACTACAAAGAATATCATTGGGATGGCGATGGGACCAATAATTGGGATGACTACGGGACTGATAATTGGGATGGCTACGCAACCAATAAATGGTGGGATCATCGTAGCTACAAGAAGTCAGATTATGGGGGTCAGCATGGGTTCAACATCTCCCAGTATCTACATAATGGTAATGACCAGTCATTCTTCGGTGATTTTGGAAGCAACAGAAGAGGCAATTTTTCTGATATTGAACGCCCTCTGATAAAGCGGAAACCTGTTTCAAGGCAATGGTAGATTAATAGTATGATTGTGAGCAAATTTTGCAGGAGTTTAAAGCATATTAGCAGTGGTATTTTGTTGATACATAATCAAAATTCTTTTGTTAATCTAGTATCATAAATTCGTAATGCCGTAGATTGATATGGTAATACTAAGATTAGTATATACTTGTGCTATTTTGTACTGTAGGAGGTTATTTTGTAGCTGGATGGCATGTTTATGTGTATAACATGGGGGATATATGGAAGAGTTATTGAATGAGTCAATGAGCTTGTTGTGTTAAGCGTTCTCAATCTTAATAATAATCTCTTGTTCTCGAAGATTAATCGCGATTATGTTTTTCTTTTTGTAATAAACCGTTTGCTTAAGGTATGTAAATCAACATTTGTTCTTGAAATTTCATCTTCTGAAAATCACAAGTTTTATGTTGGTTCATGTTGCCTTTTATAAATGCAAATCAAATAGTTGTATCATAAGCAACCAAGCACCAGCTTTATTTGTTAGGCTCTCTTTGTCAATCAAACTTCACAAAACATATGCCAAAGAATATCCCATTGGCCCCTCCCATACTCTAATGCTTTTACTTATTTACCCTTCTTGAACATGTATAAGTGAATGAGTGCAAGTCCTAGTTTATCACCTTGATAAATAAATATTGCAAATGCCATTCCGAATGACATTTTTGTAATAAAATCAACATATGAGACCCACACTTACTAAAACTTGTTAATCCATTTACAAGATTGTTAATTGATTTTAATTCCAAGTTTATCAAGGTGATAACTTGGATTTTCTCAATAAATGATGGATCATGCATACAAGCTCATGCGCACGGGTATTGTTTATGGTTTTGGCATAGATATGGGAAACTTAGTTATTTTCCTACCAAATTAGAGATTTTTTAAAGACAAAATAATCCACATAGAGTAAGATTGGATTTCAAAAGTCATGCAATGTGCTGGACTAAATCTTTTACCATAAGCCAAAATCACAATTTTCGCAAGAGCGTTATGGCCAATTATGTTGGGGTTGTTCATCCTAAGGGTCTGTTCTCATTGACTAAACTGGGCTAAACTGAATTAAAATGAACTTATTAGAGCTGAACTGAACTAAACTGAATTGAACTTATTCGAGCTGAACTGAACTAAACTGAACTGAACTGAACTTATTAGAACATAACTGAACTAAACTGAACTTTTATTAGAGCTTAACTAAACCAAAATGAAATGAAAATAATCGTATCAGAACAGACCTTAAGTTCCGAAGAATTAAGGAAGAAAGGACTTCCTTATAAGCGAGTGACAACTCCAAGCAGTATATGATTTTTTGAAAAGTAGGTGACCCAGGCCTAACAAATTGGGTTACATTTGTCTTATAAACACTTGGAAGCAAAAAAAGCAAAGTTCCAAACTTAACCAACAACCAAGCTACCCATTCACAAGTCATAACATAACAAGTTAACAACCATGAATTGTTATGGGAAACATAAGATAAAATGGAGGGGCAAAATGGGAAACAATGCATAAAATTCTCTCTCCTCAAAATCGTCCTCCTTTTGCCATTAATTAGATTTGGTTCAGTGGTAGTGGCTAAGCCAAGGTGTCACGGTCCGAGTGGTTTGACACCGGATCGTGCGGCGCGCTCTTATCTTTTAGAAACAAGAACGCAAGCCTAGAGTGAGAGAGGTTCGTGGGCACACAGAAACACGGACCAAAGGTATCTCAATGAGGCAATCGTTAGTAACGAGTGCAGGGTCGGGGCTTGTGACGGCCGATACTTCGAAGCGGGCACAAGCGGAACCGACAAGGATGTAGGCGTCTTTGAGAGTCTCTTGGTTTGGTGGGGAGCTTTAAAACAAGGCAAGCACAATATCTATAAAGGCTTAAATCAACACACAAGTCTTAAAGCAAGGCAACCCGAATAGGAGCTTTTTCATTCATTCAACCATCGCTCCATATAGAGCTTTATATTGCTTACATGGAGAAATACTAGTGAACACTGAAATGACAGTAACACAATAATCTCCTCTAGCGCCTAAACTACTTACACGAATACATTGAAAGTTTAACATAAGCTAAATAAAGACATAAGAAAGCAAAATACATGATGAAAGAGGTTGGATCCTAACATCCTCCCCCACTTAAGCTGTCGACGTCCTCGTCGACTTACAAAATATGACTAAGGAGACTAAAGTTCTTGATCCTTAGGTCTCTGCTGAAGAGGTGCTGCGCTGTCTGCTCCTGATGCTGGCTCGGTTGCTGATGTTGCGGCTTGAGTCTTCTTGATCTGGGTGGTAGGGCTTGAGGCGGCTGACGTGAAAGACTGGGTGTATCTTCATCCATGCTGGAGGTTCGACCTTGTACGCATTCTTCCCTATCCGTTTTATGATGCGGATGGGGCCTTCGTATTTTCTGATTAATCTTCGATCTCTTCCTCTCAAAAACTTCAATTGTTCGGGTAACACTTTCACCATCACCATATCCCCAACATCAAACTCCAACGGTCTTCTGTTTTGATCAGCCCACTTCTTCATTCTCCTAGCTGCTCGCTCCAAGTAGGCCCGAGCAATCTCTGTGTTTTGCTCCCACTCCCTTTTGAATTCTCGAGCTTGAGTACTTCGTCCGGCCTCGGTGTCTGCTACTGTGTGAGGCAAGAGAGGTTGTTGGCCCATGGTCAGCTCGAAAGGGCTCTTGTTTGATGAGGAGCTCTTTTGGGCGTTGAAACAAAGCTGAGCTACATCGAGGAGTCTCACCCAATCCTTCTGATTGGCACTGACGAAGTGGCGCAAATATTCTTCAAGTAACCCATTGAATCTCTCCGTCTGCCCATCTGATTGTGGATGATGACTTGATGACATATTGAGTTCTGACCCCATCATCCGAAACAACTCTGACCAGAATATGCTTGTGAATCTCGTGTCTCTGTCGCTCACTATACTCTTGGGGAGTCCCCAATACTTCACAACGTGCTTGAAAAATAATGAGGTAGTTTCTTCAGCACCACATGCCTTTTTCATTGGAACGAAGGTAGCATATTTTGAGAATCTATCTACAACCACCATTACTGCGGAGAGCTGGTCCACCTTTGGGAGGCCACTGATGAAGTCCATGGATACACTCTCCCAAGGGCGAGTAGGGATTGGTAACGGTTCAAGGAGCCCACCGGATTTCTGTCGGTTGACCTTGTCTTGTTGACACACCAGACAAATTCTTGTGTAGTTCATCACGTCCTCTTTCATCCCCGGCCAATAGTATCCTGTGCTCAGTAAGCTGAGTGTCCTTTGCCAACCCGGATGACCTGCCCATAGCGTGTCGTGGCATTCCCTCAAGAGCATCTTTCTCAAACCACCTCCTCTAGGGATGAAGAGTTTCTTTCCTTTAGTGTAGACGAGTCTGTCTTCCATCCAGAAACGTCTAGTTTTCCCTTCTTCAATCAGTTTCTTGATGGTTCCTGTCATCGGATCATCTCCTAAGTAAGCTTTGACTTGATCACGCACAGAGGTAGCGACGTTGCTTGAAGTTAAAGGGGCTAATCTTTGTAGGGGTGCCAGGTCTGCTCGCCTGCTCAGCGCATCTGCTACCCTGTTGCTAGCCCCTGTCCTGTATGCAAACTCTACATCGAACTCAGCTAAGGATTCTTGCCATCGAGCCTGTCTTCCCGTCAACTTAGGCTGAGAGAGAAAGTGGGTTGCAGCAGTATTGTCGGTGCGGACGATGAACTTCGAGCCCAACAAGTAATGTCTCCAGCCCCTAAGGCAGTGCACAATAGCTAGGAGTTCCTTTTCTTGTGCTGCGTACTTCCTTTCCGTACTGTTCAACTTCCGACTCTCGAATGCGATGGGATGGCCATCTTGGAGTAGTACTCCTCCCAAGGCAAAATCGGAAGCGTCTGTCTCTACTTCAAAGGGTTTGTTGGGGTTAGGGAGAGCGAGGACTGGCTCTCTCACTACTGAATCTTTCAATTTCTGAAAAGCTTTTTGCTGTTTCTCTGACCATTCCCAACGACGATCCTTCTGCAAGAGGTCGGTGAGGGGACTGGCTAACTCGGAGTATCCCTTGATAAATCTGCGGTAATAATTTGCCAAGCCTAGAAAGGACCGAAGCTCGGAAGTGTTCCTTGGATCTTTCCAATCCTGAATTGCTTGTATCTTCTTTGGATCCATCCTTATGCGGCCTTTACCTACAAAGTGTCCCAAGAACCCAACTTCTTCTTGGGCGAAAGCACATTTTTCTCTCTTGACGAACAGATGATGTTTTCGCAGCTTCTCAAACACCTTTCTCAAGTGGTCAAGGTGTTCTTCAAAGGTCTTGCTATAAATTACAATGTCATCCAGGTACACCACTACAAATTTGTCGAGAAATTCATGGAACACTTGATTCATCAAGGTGCAGAAGGTTGCGGGGGCATTGGTCAACCCAAACGGCATAACTAGCCACTCAAATGCTCCATATCTCGTCACACATGCGGTCTTCGGTTCATCTCCTTGAGCAATGCGAACCTGGTGGTAGCCAGATTTCAGATCCAACTTCGTGAAGAACACTGCATCCCCTAGTTGATCGAACAAGTCCGCCACCAACGGAATGGGGTAATGATTCCGCACTGTGACCTTGTTGAGGGCTCGGTAGTCTATGCACAATCGGAGGCTCCCATCTTGTTTCTTCTGGAAGAGCACGGGAGCTCCATAAGGAGCTTTCGAGGGGCGGATGAATCCTGACTCTAGTAAGTCTTCCAGTTGCTTTCTAAGTTCCGCTAGCTCGGGAGGGGCCATACGGTAAGGGCCTCGAGCAGGGGGCCTCGAACCAGGAACAAGTTCAATCTCGTGATCCACAGCCCTCCTAGGAGGAAGCACCTTTGGGAGCTCTTTGGGGAGGAGGTCCTCAAATTCCGTGAGAAGCTTATCTAAAGCTGCGGGGATTTCATGAGGGGCTTCATCTTCTTTCACTGATAAAGTAGCAAGGAATGTGGGTTCGTTCCTTTTCAACCCCTTTTTTAGTTGCATTGCCGAAAGGAGGGGGCCTTTAGACCCTTTTCTCATCTTGCAAGTCTTGAGGAGGCAAGGCTGTTGTCCAGCTACTAATACTGACCCCAGATGGAGCATCGGGACAGCTTTACTTGCACGTAGGAAGTCCATACCGAGTACAAGGTTAAAGTCATCCATGGTGGCTACAGTGAAATCCAGGTTTCCGCTCCAGTCCCCCAGCTTTGTTGGGATGTTCCTTGCAACCCCATGAACTGGCTTGGCGGCTGAGTTAACAGCTTTCATACTACCCCCTTCTTGAATCGGCTTCAGCCCCAATCTTCGAGCTTCTCCTTGGGATATGAAGTTATGGGTGGCCCCGGTGTCAATCATCGCATTGCCCCTCCTCCCATTCACCAACACTTCTACATACATCAACTCAGTGTTTTTGGACCTCTCCTCGGGCTCTTCCTTTCCCATGGCGTACAACATGTGCACCGCGCCCAGCCTTGAGGGCTCTTCCTCATCAGGTTCTACTTCGCATGCTTCTTCGGTCTGTTTTGACTCCACCGTCATCGCCGATAACTTCTTTTGGAGACTATCGATTTCTCCCTTATGACGGCATTCGAACCACTTGTGAGGGCCCCGACAGAGGACGCATGTTAGGGGTCTGTTCCCCGTTGAGAAGGTTGATGTGCTTCCCTTACTTGATGAAGAGGAAGCTCCACTCCTTCTAGAGTCATCCCCCACAATCTTGTTGTACCTACTCCCAACATTGTTTGAGCTAACTTGGGAGGCGGGGTGTTGGCTTCTAGGAGTGCTTGTTGCTTGTCCATTGTTCCCCTTCTTCTGATTAGGGCCCTTATCGGGTGAGTAATCCATTAACTTCTCAGCTGCTGCTATAGCACCGGCTAGAGTGTCTATCTTTTGGCGCCAAATCTCACGTTGCGCCCAATCCTTCAAACCTCGCACAAAGTTGAACAACCGATCCTTCTCTGACATATCTTGGATCTCTAACATGCACGCACAATATTCCTTCACATATTCTCGAATGGAAGTCTTGTGGTGTAGGGTGGTTAACTTTGTGCGAGCCACGAACTCGGTGTTATCCGGGCAGAACTGGTTCTTGATCTCCTTCTTGAGATCCTCCCAACTATCAAGCGTGATTCGTTTTGCTTGAATGTCGGCATATTTGGTGCGCCACCACAACTTCGCGTCCTCCACTAAATACATGGTGGCAGTATCCACCTTGAAGGGATCCTCTATTTGACAAATCCGGAAGTATTGTTCCATGTCAAAGATGAAGTTGTCGACTTGCTTCGAATCTCTTGCCCCATCAAAGGTTTGGGGCTTGGGCGGCTTTATCTTTGCACCCCCACTGCCCCCAAAGCCTTGAGGAGCATGCATAGTGGCACACTTGTCGAGTGTCTCATCAGCTAGTGCCTGGACACAATTCAGTTGCTCCAACAGTCCATCTACTGTGGAACGTAGAATGCTGATTTCATTATCCTGCTTAATCACAATATCTTCGAGCTTGGGCACCCTTTCCTCTAGGAAGGCCCATTGTTCGGACTTGCCCTCAAGCCAGGCCAGCCGTTGTTCGAAGGTGTATTCGAGATTATCTTCCATCACTGGCGTGCTACTTGAACACGAGTTTAGGCAACGATGCAGCGTTGGCTCTGATACCAACTGTCACGGTCCGAGTGGTTTGACACCGGATCGTGCGGCGCGCTCTTATCTTTTAGAAACAAGAACGCAAGCCTAGAGTGAGAGAGGTTCGTGGGCACACAGCAACACGGACCAAAGGTATCTCAATGAGGCAATCGTTAGTAACGAGTGCAGGGTCGGGGCTTGTGACGACCGATACTTCGAAGCGGGCACAAGCGGAACCGACAAGGATGTAGGCGTCTTTGAGATTCTCTTGGTTTGGTGGGGAGCTTTAAAACAAGGCAAGCACAATATCTATAAAGGCTTAAATCAACACACAAGTCTTAAAGCAAGGCAACCCGAATAGGAGCTTTTTCATTCATTCAACCATCGCTCCATATGGAGCTTTATATTGCTTACATGGAGAAATACTAGTGAACACTGAAATGACAGTAACACAATAATCTCCTCTAGCGCCTAAACTACTTACACGAATACATTGAAAGTTTAACATAAGCTAAATAAAGACATAAGAAAGCAAAATACATGATGAAAGAGGTTGGATCCTAACACAAGGACAGCAAAAAATCTTCAGGTGCAGAAAGGCCTACCCTTCAAGATTGCACTCTTCGCTGACTTGCATTTTGGTGAAGACGCGTGGACTAAGTGGGGCCCTCTTCAAGATGTTCACTCTACCAATGTTATGTCTTCTATCCTAGATCAAGAGAAACCAGGTGATGTATCATAAAATTGATGATCCTAAAAACTTTGTGTTATATTTAGCTACAATAATATTTCTATCTTCGTCGTATATTCTAGTGTAATTTTACATCGTCTTACATTTTCCTCCCTTGTTAAACCGTGGTGTACATGTTACACATACATGACAATAGTAAGATGGACACCCTAGTCATATACAATGTTGTCCCATGTAACCCGATCACTTTGTCTAGAGAATAATTGGCATTACCCATATGGCCATATGTGTTTATTAACGTAAATATAATCTGATTTGATCTTGTAATAAGAACCTTTGATACAGAACTGTACTCGTTTTAGGAATAAATGTTAGAAGTAGGAATGTAATTTAGAGACGGAGGGAGTACATAAATAAGTGATGACCTTTTCTAAATCAATGTGATTGTAATTTTCAAGCAAAGGCAGTTGTTCAATACTTTTCTATGTTAATCAATCAGTGATTCGTTGCCCTTTCATGTGGCCTGGTATAGCAATAGAGGCTATAGAGTTGGTGATTTCGTACAGCTCTTTAGAGTCTAGTTTGTACTACGGAGTATTAATGTCTAAATTGAATTATTACGAAGTACATTATTAGTTCAAATTACACTATCAACGTAGCTATACGTGTAAACTCATAGGCACTAGGCAGTAAAGGAGGACAATATGTTGGTGGGCTTGTAGGGCTTGCTATAGGCGCCTAGTGAAGGCCCTATAGTTTGATTAAAAAAAAACGGGCGGTCGGGTACACTTGCTACACTAGGAATTTGCTGCAAATGGTTCATTTGGCCCAACTTTGGTAGACTAGTGAGTCATTTAGTTCGGTTTCAGTTCAAGTCGAGTTGAAGTGATTTGGATCACACCTTCACAGGATGAGTTGGAGACAATCCAGTTGAATTTAGGGTAAAAGTAAACTTTCTTTAGGTCCTTTTTTATTTCACCAAAAACAAGCAAAACTTTATTCAATTTCAAAATTGAAAAATTGACCAAGTTATGCTATTTTGCTCTTCAATCAGTTAGCCTCAGGAATCTAGCACCTTTTGTGTCTGGTGTCCTTTCTGCTATTCTCAATCAACACCATATAACTGTGTTATTAGTATAAGCATGATTCAAGGTCCTGAACTCATCATGAACCAATGCATATATAATGTTACTCGAACTTCAGGACTGGTCGCGATCTTTTTATGGACTTACATTAATAATCTACAACTGTGGGTGCAGACTTTGTAATTTATCTAGGAGATGTTATCACAGCTAATAACATTCCAATAGCAAATGCGAGTCTATATTGGGATCAAGCGCTCTCACCAGCTAAAAATAGGTGCATTCCTTGGGCCATTGTCTTTGGAAACCATGATGATGCTCAATTTACATGGCCTACGGAATGGTTTTCAGATAGCGGAATTCCCTCTCTGAAGTGCACATCAGATACTTCATTATCTTCAGGTGACCGAAATTCCTAGAAAAATATGACTTTCTTGAATTTCTAATTAAATGGCTTCATTCTTTCACACAAGAAACCTACCTACTTATTTTTGTTACACCTTATCTTAATATGTTTTAGTTATAAATTGAACTTGAACTTGGTTAGCCCTGATCAGCTGAATATTTTTTCAGAAACTTATTTTTGTAAGGTTAAGAGCACATCACCTTTGTCCAGTCTTTCGATTTTTTTTTTTTCCCTTAATGTATGTATGCCTTATGCAAGAAGCATTGATTACGGTTCATCCTGCAGGGGAGGACAATTGCAGCTTCATGGGCACAACGCGTTTACAATTGATTAATCATGACATTGGAAGCAATACATTATCATTCTCTCAAAAGGGACCTAAAAATCTATGGCCTAGTGTATCCAACTATGTCCTCAGAATTTCATCATCAGATGATTCAGAATCACCGGTAGCCTACCTGTACTTTCTAGACTCTGGAGGGGGGTCTTATCCGGAAGTCATATCATCTGCACAAGCAAAATGGTTTAACAGCACATCTCAGGAAATCAACCCTGACTCAAGGTACATAAAATTATGCATGATATTGACTCGTTTCTTCAAACTTTCCCGGACAGCAACTAAGATGACATGCTCAACACTTTCAGAGTGCCTGAGATAATCTTTTGGCACATTCCTAGCAGAGCTTACAAAACTGTGGCACCTTCTGGTAAAATAGATAAACCTTGTGTAGGATCGATTAACAAAGAGACTGTTGCTCCTCAAGAAGCTGAATTCGGTATCATGAACACATTAGAAGCTCGGTCTTCAGTTCAGGTATGCACATTCACAACTACAACGTTATTCCAATTATAAACATTCCTTACAGAAAAAGTTCAGTCAGTCATTAATCTTACTTGGTGCAAACATTCTGGTTGATTATAAAAAATGTTCGATGTTCAAAACTTATGTTCTTCCATGATCATTACAGTACATATATTAGGATTTTTACTCTAGTTAGTTTGCTTCATGTTTTGTGTTTATGGTAGGCTGTGTTTGTGGGGCACAATCATGGACTAGACTGGTGCTGTCCTTACAAAAAATTCTGGCTTTGCTTTGCGCGCCACACTGGCTATGGTGGTTATGGAAATTGGGCTAAAGGAGCTAGAATACTCGAGATCACTGAGCAGCCATTCTCTCAAGTCATGGATTACAATGGAGGACAGTTCTGTACATAGTCATGTTACGCTGAAGTTTTGATGTCATCTATTTCCTCTGCTTCTTTACACTAAGAAGTACTTCGAATAAGGCATTGGCAGCTTGTTCTGTACATAAAAACATCATAAAGGTAAAATCATCCATGTAAATTTACACAAAACTAGATTATTATTCGTGTAATTTATGATCACTTATCAAACGAGTCATATTGGGGTTGTTTGGCAATCGGCGGTTGGATGTTGGCTTGTTTGCTTGGCTTGTTTGACTAGCTGGAAGTATTAGCTGTATGGGTTGGCTTTTTAAGTTATTGTATTAAGCTGACTGTTTTCAAAAGTATTTGGTAAAATTATTAATGATTGTTAGCTGTTTATTAGTGATAAAGTGGGCCAACAAGCCAAAAGGCAATTAAAAAAGCTACTCTTATTAGCTTTTGGCGGAAAAGCTAGCTTAAAAGCCAACAAAAAAGCCAACTACCAAACATATTTTTTGATTGTTTGATCAAACTTAAAAGCCAAAAGCCAAAAGCTAGGCAAAAAGCCAGACAAAAAGCCAATTGCCAAACAACCCCATTACCTTAATACAATACACAACGGATAAATGAGCATGAAGGGTATATTAGATCATTGTGAAGGGAGAATTATTTGACTTGATTCATGTACTTGTTAGAATGTTCCAAGTAGTCTACTTTCCTTTTATGAAAAACGAGAAAATTCAAGTTTATCAATATGATAAACAAAATTTGTTTATCAAATGGCAAAATTGTAAATAAATCAACAACTTTTTATAAATATGGGTCCCACTGTTGTTGATATATTTACGAAAATGCCATTTTGCCATTTGATAAACAAATTTTGTTTATCAATTTGATTAACCGGAGCTTCCTCATGAAAAACATTCCTCTCTTCATTCTTATGCTATTTGGATCTTAGATTATACTTCGAATTACTATTCTTGACATGACACTGAAGCAACTTGTAAGGATATTGTTGATCAATACAGTACATAATAAATCTTCAACTTATGATTTGCAAAGATGAAAGGATGGTAAAATACCCCAAGATTCATGGCCTTGGTATACTTTCAAATTAAATCCTCATAACATGGTACAACAAGCTAAGGGTTGGGTTGAAGGACTGGGAAAAGGAAATTAATGACAGAGTCAGGCTAATTTTCAAGAGAGGACAATGTAAAAAGTCAAAATGGTGCGTCTGTTGAGAAATTAGACTTTTTTTTTTTCCAAACAAATGCTAATGGAATACATGTGAGTTTAACATGTCATGTTGATTGGACATTTTTGTTAATTTATTTACAATTTTATCACTTGATAAATAAAGAGATAATTTAGGGTTTCAAAGTAGGAAAAAAGTAAATAGTTTAAACTCAAAAATTATTGTAACATACTTCGTATAAAATATATTAACAATGGTGAGATGCATCATTGGATTCACTGAGACTTTTTTATATCACAAAAGTATCAATGAGACATTAAAAAGAAATAAGAGTAACAATTAAATTAAATATATACATTGTCTTTCTACCACAAGATCATACTTACTTACCATAGTACATGAAGAAAATGTCTATAATTAGGGTGAATTAAAAAGAGAAACCATTTTTTAAAAGTTAATTAAAAAGTAATTAACTTGAAAAACATGAATATAATCTAGTTTAGAGGTGTGGAAATCTTCTTTCGGCTCTAAGTCATTAGATCCACCCTGGCCCTGTAAGAAGTTGAACAGAAAATCCAATTATTTTTTGAGGGTGTACATTCTTCCACATACTTTCATCTGGGACCAAGATTTTATGCAATAACTATATCATATGTTTAGGATATATTATATAATTACTACAAATTAAAGAGTTACTTTTTATACTTTGATTTACTTTTTGCATGAATAACAAACATTGCTTAATGATGAGGAGATGTGTATGTAATTATGAAGATTAATGAGTTTATTTAAATGTTTAATTAATTTTTGATTGCATGCATCTCTTGATTTTTCTTTTTGCTTTAGATGATGAGCTCCAAATGATGACATTGGTATTCATCTAGCTATGCTATAGCTACTTCATTTCTTGAAACTAAAGGTACCTACCTGACCTTTAATTTATGTGAACTGTTTATTTGATTCAATTTGGAATGATTATTATATTCTTCTTTCAAATATAATAAAATAATAAAAATATATATATAATGGTACTTTCTCAATCAGTTTTTGTTTCTTTTTATGTTGCGGTATTAATTGTGCTTGTTTGTCAATTCCAACTTAAACTTGAAAATCATGAACAACTAAGGGCTTGTTCTGATTTACTAAACTGAGCTGAGCTAAACTGTAATGAATTGTTTATATGAGAAAGAAATTAGGAACTGAATTGAATTAAACTAATTGGAGCTAAGCTGAACTGAACTAAATTGAAATTAAGCTGAAAAGAACATACAAGTCCTAAATATTGACATGTCAAGATAACTTGTGAGTTACCTAGTCAAATCAGATCAACGGGTCAGGTTCGAGTTAATTTTGGGTCATATGGGTTGTTTATTTGGTTCGGGTGATTTGGATCGTTTGAGTTAATACAAATTATGACAAGTGGGTCAAATTGGGTTGATTTCGGGTCGTTTGGGTCGAGTTAGCTTCGATTTTCTTTAGTGACTCGATTTTGAAATTAGGATGGGTTGGGTTGGGTTGGGTCGGGTCAGGATTTGAGAGCTCTACCTATGATGAACCCTACTTACTTAGTATTAATCAAACTCGAAGTTCAATAGGACTAAAGTAAAAATAACTTAGATTAGAATTAAACTCAAATTCAAATAATAAACATGACCCAATAAAACTAGATATGATTTCTAAACAACTTAAGTTTGTCGTGTATTACGAGTTTCGACCTGATTTGATTGAAATGTAATTGAAACGATCCATTTTTATTTCTACCTTTACCTAGGATAGACAAAATACTTTCCAATAATAAGAACCTTCCATTCATAACCAGAATTCAATTTAATTATTCATCAATCAACTAGAGTAACTTTTTATGGAAAAAAAAACCAATTGGGACTTCCTATATATAGTAACTCCAATCGATAACATAACCATCCTTTCAAATGAATTCAATAATGTTCCAAAAAATTTTGTTTTGTCATTATATTTTTATAAGTTTGATCCATTTACATCAACTTGTACCACATGATAGAAACTAAGGAGTAAGGAGTAGTCATACTTTGAAGAACATAAATAAATAAAACATTCATTATTAGTTAAAACTTTATTGCAAAGGACTTTTGGGGATTAGAAAATTTTGGTACAGCTCAAAAGACATCCATGGACCATAATCTATAGATAGATATCACATCATTTGAGCAAATATTTAATTGACTTTAATTAATTAAATTAATTTAATTTATACAAATTATATCAATTAAGACTATTTTATAAATTCACCTACAAAATTCAAAATATTCTGACTTTTGAATTAAATAATAGCAACAATTTATGATGTTACAACTCAAGTAGTCAAGTGCCAATTTTATAATTGTCATAATCACTAATTTTAAATTATGATGCAATGTGTAAGATTAGAGCATGTTCTTGCAATTACAAGGTGTGGGTCTAAACACAAGGGTGGATAGTCTTTCACGTGTCTTGATTTTTCTTAAAACAGTAATTATAAGTCTTTTTCAAGTACTATACCCCACTTTTTTGGAAGGCCTTAGCTTGATCATTATTGGACGTTATTAAGCTACTTAATTAGTTCTCATAATTAACTTTCAAAGTTCATAATTATATCATCAAGTTTCTATTGAGTTGGAAGCTTGAAGTTGGCCACGAAATGTAACTAAAGATACAATAAAGAAAGTGATATTTTTGCTTTTAAAAGTATGTAACAATGTGTATATAGGTTGAACACGCCCTCTCATATAAGACTCTGTTGGACTTGAAGTTTAGATGCAACATAGGCCCTCCATATACCTTACACGAAATGTTCCACTTGAAAGTGTAGGGCAGATCAGATTTAAAAGGTCACATTATACTGGTTCTGAATATCATGTTAATGAACCAAGTCAATTAAAAGGTTATGCTAATAGTTAAAGTTCGGGAATATGTTGTATAATCTATCACTTACCTTCTCTGATCCATCCCGATTCTCAACCGATAACATGTAGCTAATTCGTACGAGTACTACGTAACGGATGCCATACTCATAAGACATGGGAGGACATGGTGTTACGCCATATATTTTGGATGTACAAAGAATAAATCTGTAATTAGCATTCATCCTGCAAATGGATTTTGGCAGCAATCAAATTCTTCACTGAATCAAATGTTAGTCAAATTAAGGTAGGAAGTTACATCACTTTAATAATGAGTTTTTGGTTGAATGTTTGTTTTTCAGGCTTAAAGACATTACATCACTTTGCCCTAAGCTTCCCTACACCCACATGCATTTTTTTAGCTTCATCTTTACATCTGACACCACTACTTTCTAAATTATGTATAGGTTTAATGCTTGTTGATTTTAATCATTAATATGTTTAAAATATGAGAATTTATCTAGATTAATAAGATTTTTATATAGTAGGATAGTGTCCTGACAATAACTTTTGGTGTAAATTTTATTATTATATGTTGAATAAGTAAAATATTACATGAATTTTGAATATTACTAGAGTCATAGTACATATACTTCATATCTAGCATAAACTACCGTAACAACGTCTAGGATAATAATTTGTTTCAAAAACTTCACACTTGCCTAAACAACTACTTTGAGGGCATGTTCTTTTACGTTCAAATTCAGTTCAGTTCAGTTTAGCTCAGCTCCTAATTTCCTTCTCTTATAAAATATTCATTTCATTTCAGTTCAGTTCAGTTCAGCTCAGTTTAGTTCAGCTCAGTTCAGTTCAACTCAATTCAGTTCAGTTCAGTCTAGTCAATGAGAACAGACCCTAACAACTAACTTCTAACAATAACTAGCATAAGAATGATTTAAATGTGTCCCCCCAATTTGCAACTAATTGATACATATACACTCCCTAATCCCTATGTTATCTTTTCATCACTGGGTGTAAAATGAAAGGGTATACAACTATACGTCAATACATGTAATAGTAGATCAAGTGATCATAAATAATGTTATTTCCTACTCCGTAATATACAAAGCTTTACAAATTATACTTTATATATTTAACTTAATTTTCTATCCGTTTCACCGTTATAATAACTAGACACAAACTCCAACCAACTTAACGCCAAAAAAGTAGAGTACTACTATTCAAAGAACCATTTCTTCTCTCTTTCCAAAATCAACAAATTTTGCATTTTTTAGTTGTGTAAACAATTTTTCATAAGAAAAATAATTTTTTTTTTTCTAAAAAAGTGATCATTCAAAAGGACACATTGGCAGCAATGAATAACTCCTATGATTGACTTGGGAAAGTACAGTGTGGTCCGCCGTAGGTAATAGACTATTTTACAAACAAAAAAAAAAGGTTGGAACTAGTCTTCTCTTCTCTTAAGCAGTTATAAGTAGGAAAGAGAGAGAATGAAATATGACATCTCTTCTTTTCTTTTGTCACACCAAACATCAAAGGGTAGATACATCTTCTTCCACTTCAATTCTTTTATTTATTCACTCTATTTTTTGTGCCTCTTTTTTTGGCATAATTTTCAACCCAACAACAGAATTTTTAGGGTTGGTCCAATATCATATATAGCTTATAATAATACATGTTATATTTTCTTTACTTTGACTAGTAGATTTTCGAGTCGTTTTATTTTGGTGTTTCGAGAGTTACAAGTGACACTGTCTACACTGGTGTTGACGGGTTTTATCTATCTCTAGTCTTATGTGTTGCTACTCGACCCCGAGTTACTCCCATTACTTTATCAACTAAGGTATGTTACTTGAATATTACTCTTTGATGAGATTTTGCAATAAAGTCTTCATGTGAAGTTTCTTAGTGTCTTCAACTTTTTCCTTTTTAGTGGAATTTGGATAGAATTGCTAAAGTGCCTTTTTATGCAACAGAAATACAATTATTGAGTCTATATTATTAATTTTACATACTTTTTTTTTTATTATTTATTTATTTATGTAAATGCTTTAAGCCTTTAATTAATTACAAATGGGTATTGATATTTCTCCTTAATTTTTCAGGAAATTAATTGGTTTGATTAATTTGTCCATAATCTTTATGGCTAAGAAGAATTGGTGGTTTAATCTTGTCAAGAACCTAATAAGTTGTGAATCCAAACCAAAAGCAAAAAAGGTACATAAATTTTGTTCTTATGAATTTTCCTCTATTTTTCAACTATCCATTATTTGATCACTAAATTTAATTAGTTAATGTAATGATTAAATTAAATTGCTGAACTTTTTCAGGGTAAGCCAAAGAGTTGGGGTTGGATTTTTAATAGATTTAGGTTCAAACAACTCCCTGCAACATCAACAACATTACAAGAAAAGTCACTAAGTGAAGCCAGAGATGAGCAGAGGAAGATTGCAATGAATGTTGCTCGGGCCACCGCCGCGGCTGCTGAGGCTGCAGTTGCTGCAGCTCAGGCAGCTGCGGAGGTAGTCCGGCTCACAAGTGTGTCCCGACATTCGTCGTTACGACAACATGAAAGAGAGGTTCAATACTTGGCTGCCATCAAAATTCAGACTTCTTTCAGGGGATACCTTGTAAGACCTCTATAGACCACTTCAACATTCGTGGCATCTTTATTACCCACCTAGGACATATTCACTTCAACTTAATTTCAGTCTTGTTCAGTTCAGCTCAGTTTCTAATTTTCTTTTCTCATAAAATATTCATTTTAGCTCTATTCAATTCAGTTCATTACAGCTCCAATCAGTTCAGTTCAGTTATTGTGAACAAACCCTTAAGGTCTCGTTTTATTCTTATTCGAGTTATAAAAATTAGTTTTAATCAGTAAAAAAAATAAACTCATAGATTTATAGTTAGTTTTGTTCAATATGATATCAGTTGAAGTGAACAAAGCCGAGCTGCTAATTTAAAGTGCGATATTTTAATATAGAATCACGATTTATGTTTGAATATTTGACTTCTTTTAATGCTAAAGTCCCTATTAATTTTCCCTCCCTTGCATTTTTTTGAAATGGCTAATTTGAGATTGATTTGAGTGAACTTTCAGGCAAGGAAGGCACTGAGAGCACTAAAAGGAGTGGTAAGAATACAAGCAATAGCACGAGGACGAGCTGTGAGGCGTCGAGTGAGCACAAAACTTCAGCATTTGAAGTGTGTAAATTCCACAAAGGTAGTTCATACAATAAGAGTTCCTAGTGTAATTGATCAATCTCCTAGCACAAAGAACATAGTAGGAGAAAATTCCAAGGTAGTGCAGCTCTTGCTGTTAAATCAGTTTTAGCTTAGCATTTTCTTTGCTAATATTGTTTTTTCATGTTTGACAGCTTCAATGCAAGAGCCAGAGGCAATGGACTGACAGCTTGTTTTCGAAGGAGGAGATCGAATCCATATACTTGCATAAGCAAGAGGCCGTCTTTAGAAGAGAGCGAATGAAGCAATATTCATTCTCTCATCGGGTAATTAACACTCTTACTTTTCCTATAACTCTTAACAACCTGTTTGGTAGGCAATAATAAATAATGAATTTTCATTTGTACACACACAAATTGGCATAGTACGTCAACCAAGTGGACCATAAATGTTTATTAAGGGGAAAAAATGAGAACTTAAATTCCAAGGACATTTTACAGGAGAGCAAATGTTCTCAAATACTTGAAGAAGCACTACCACACCGAAACAATGAAGGAAAAACATGCCTAAGAAAACAATGGAACGAGGAAGATATCCGTGACAAGGGACATTCAAAAGGCGCTATCTTAGAGTTACATCCAAATGCAAGGAGCTGGGACTTAGGAACACACTTGAGGGTCAAATCAAGGGCTACAAATCTAGCAAAACAGGATTTTACAGAGGAAGTGAGCTCCCCATATTCACATCCTAGAAGATCATTTTCTCACACGAGGCTAAAGCAAGGTATCGACGACTTTCAGCTATCCAACTCTACCATGTTTCCAACTTACATGGTTGTGACAGAATCAGCCAAGGCAAAGATGAGGTCATTGAGTACACCGCGACAAAGGCTAGGGTACCTTGATACATGTTTCGAGCAATATGGATCGCCGTGTAAGAGTAGGCTGCATTCTTCTTGGTCTTATTACAATGGTGAGTCCAGTGCACTTGGAAGGACAAATTGTTCCTAGACTATTATCTTAAAGAATGGGAGTTCTTCACCAATAAGTTTGGAAATTGATGAAATTCTCCTTTTTATTTATTTATTGGGCTCATTTTGTCATGAAAATTTTGGTTTGTGATTGTTTTCTCTTGGGATTTGATGAAACAAAAGAGTGAAAAATTTTGTTTTGACTAACACATAGTACAAAGTTAATACTGTAAAATTGAGTGTCAAAGAGTTGTGGTTGTTTGAGAGTGGTATAGAATTTCTTGGTGTTAATACATTTGTTTTATTTGTTGTCACTTTTTTTCGACTTCGATTAGATGGTTGGGGGTGACCTCTGCAATGGTATATATATTCTTCTTCTTTGATGAAATCATCCAATACTACCAATGTACATTCTGTTTGGCAGAAAGTTAATTGTGTTGTTTTTACTGGTTCCTGTGCTACTGAAGGGCTGAAGACATTGGCTTCTCCTATGAATTGAATCAATGATGACTAGTAAAGACTTGACAAAACTAACTCGTCTGATTGCTCAATCGGAACTACCCAAACTACGTTCAAAATTACATGATCCAAAAGTCTACCTGAATCAGCCCGACCCAAAAGTTAATGTGAGTTATGTGACCCAAAATTAAGCTTTGTTCTCTTCACCTTATTCTTATTACTTTCGGCTTGCCCTGAAATTGATTTAAACAACCTGATTCCTAGTTAATGATATAAATTTGTACTTCATATTTATTCCAACAGGGATACATAATAAACAGATCAGTAAATACTCTGCAACCAAATCAATTAACAGCAAAAAATGTAAGCACAAATTTTATAAACATGTACAAACAAGGAAGGAAACCTTAACTAAGCTAGTCCAATGGTCCGAAAAACTCGAACTTAAATTCTTTGTTAGGAGTAAATAAGCCCCAATGTTTTTCAACTTCAGGTACTCCCTGAATATCCTCATCAAACACAGAATACAAGTAAGTTTCAATATGTTTCTTAGGCTTCATCGGTGTACCTTTCTTTATTTGCTTACGCAGTTTACTGATGTAGGTCTTCTGATTCTCAACACTCGCAGCAACACCACCAGCTGAGGGCCAGCCAGTTTCTCCCACAACGACGTTGATTGAGTCATAACCCATCTTCTTTAAGGCTGAGTACATGGAATCCACCAAGTCCGCGAACAAGTTTCCACCAGAGGCATTGAAAAGAGCATAGTCAAGTGTTGACCCAGTTGGATTAAGAATATGGGCATAGTAAGGGTATATATTGACCATTACAGGAGCATGATGTTCCAACAGAAATTTCAGGATGGGATCCAGGAACAAGAGAGCCTCAACCACGAAGGAGATGTTTGATGGACGATCAGTAAATGGATTTTTAAGGACTGAAGTGTCAAAGGCGGTTGTTACCTTGATATATCTTAATCCTTGCTTAGCCAGTGCATTTTGGATGTTTTGCATGGCGTTTAGGAGGACGAAGGACAAGGGATTATTCATATTGTTAGTGCTTATCTCATTACCAACAATGAGGTACTTGAATTTAACATCAGGAGAGTAGGACTTGACATTAGTTTGCACCCACGATTCAGCTACAGCAGGGTCATTAGCAAGGGGTAAGAGAACTGAGTTTGGTACGCCAAGCAAAACTTTAATGTCTGTACTCTTCAGGGCTGTTAAGGTCTCTTGATTTGGTTCATACAGTCGAATTCGTTTTATATTATGTCTTTCCAGAAGAGCTATAGCTTCTACTGGGGGTGTTTCATTCTTTCCTGGTGTTTTGTAACAAACTCCAACTTGAGCCTCTGCATGAAGAGAAAAACAAATACATAAATAATAACAATAAATCATGCCTCCAAAATTCAGGTTGGATCATTCCTATTTAAGTCTTATGACATTAATACGTAGTATATGCTTTATGTCATATAATTTGTGTTCAATTCCAAAATTATCTAGGCTAATCTCCATTGATGCTATAATGTAAGAAAGACTAATTTTGATGATGATAAATATCAACAACGATGATGAAACTGACCTGATTGCTGCAAAAGTTAAAAGCTAAGAGAAGTCCAATGACGAGCAATATCATGGTTGATGGACTAGCCGAGGAATCCTCCGCTCCTTACTGTGTTCGAGTTCCAAGGGCACCCCTATCTTTCAACAGGGTTCGAGGGTACAGCTCGAATTCCTGAGGGGGGAAAAATATTTTGCATGACCCATATAAAACAGGACCTAAACTCCCCTCATATACCAACACAAAGGAGTAACTACATTATTATTACCGTGTCATCCATAATAACACAGCTAAAATCTACCTATTACAGACATACTATTTTTAGCTTCCAAAAGATTTAGTTATAGTATAACAGATTGCAACAGCAAGACAGTTAAGATCTACCAGAAATAACAGCAAAACATAGAAGATGCCAATGATAGAAGGGACAGGCAGGAGAAAATATAGGAGTAACATCACCACATAATCTGAAACTGAAACATATTCATTTAGGGCACCATAGGTATGATACACAATCTACACAATGGTATAAGATACGATTTGGGCGCGGAAACTCACACCCAAAGAAAATTTTATAACGTACATAAAAAATGACAAACTTAGATGAAATTCTCATAAAAGCACGGTACAACCAAAAAATCAGAGGACATAACGCACAAAACATAATGAAGTACAAGATCTAGCATTTTCAAAGTTCTACAAAGGCTTGTAAGGAACAGAGTTGGTTATATTACACAAGCAATAATGTTAGCAATCCTAATCTAGTACTTGTATTTAGATACAAATGCACAGCGCTGAAGATTGATGTCATTGTATCGTTTCAAATAAAGGGGAATACAAGGGAGGGAGGTTCATTAACCTACCAAAAAAAAAAAAAAAAAAAAAAAAAGAACAAGAGCTCGACACGGTAGAAGGTTCTGCAGAAACACTTAAATTTAATGGACCCCTTTGTTCCATGAAAGAATCAGCTTCATTACACAGAGAGCAGGATCAGACAAGAGCACAGTTTGAAACACTAAAATTCTCCTGAAACCACAGTTCTGATTTTCTAACTCCTAGATAGAGGAGAGCATCCGAATCCGATTAACACCTGCCCCAAGTAGACGAATAGTAGTAATACATGCTTCACACGGATCCTCTAGCAATGTTACCACAGGATAGCAGTGACTTGCTGACTTCACAGTAATAATCAAGTGTAGCAAAGATTATCAAACCAATGATACAACTATACAAGGCAATCAGGAATTCCTGTCAAATAACTGACGTCTCAAGTCCATTACCACTTTCTCCAAAACTACCTCATTTTCTGCCAAATATCTTTCAGCGGCATGCTCACTGCTAACAGATTCCCCCTCAATCAGATAACTATCACCTTGCTTTATAATCAGACCATGCTCAATAGCCAATTCTAAGACCTCAGGTTCAAAGCGTAATCCTCTTCCAAAGTTAATTCCCAATTCAGTGCTCTTCATTCCTGGTGCTAATTTATTTTTCATCACTTGAACACATATCTTGATGCCAGTCACCTTAAGCACATATATAATAAACAATTCAGTGACAGGAGAATTTTCAAACTAAATGGACTGAAACACAAATATAATATCAAAATGTTCCATCTTGATATGAGAGAATAAATACTCATGTCTCAGATCAAGACATGAGATGAGAATTATAGATATTCCATAATTAGTGAAAAAAGACAAGTTTTCGTGTACAAATTACATGTAATGCCATCTCAAAGTCAACTTAAACACTGAAAACAAAAATGACATATCTGGCTTCTAGAGTTGCTTGCTTTCTTTACTCTATAAGCATGACGGAGTAATTTCATTGTTGACTAATGTCAAGATCAAAGGAAAAAACAACCAACCATTAAGTTACACTGAAAGATAGTGGACGAATTTAAATGCAGGGAAAGGATCCCTTAAGAGCCTCTATAACTCATTCAGATAATAATAGAAAGATCAGTTAATGTGATCAGTTGCAGCCCTATTAAGAAGAGAAAGAATCAACTGCATCATACCTAAATTGAAAATAACTGAAGCAACTGCTGCAACACTGTAGGATATAAGCTATAACCATTCACCAATCAATATTGCACAACTCACTGGATTTGAACACATAAAATCGATTCAAGAAATTCTTTAGATTGCGCTGAGCACAATTACAAAACAATGTATGAACTTGTTCATTGTTTTAATCAACTGACCTCATCATTCAGCTTTAATAGTCCAGTTCTTGAAATTCTCAATCGTGCGGCAGCATAGAATCCCAGGGCATTCCCACCACAAGTTATCTCATCCCTCATACCAGGACCCTGATTGGATCTTGGACTGTATCTTACCTAGACCAATGAAATTACATCAAGAAATAAAGGATATTCTAGTTAGAATGGAGAGTATACAAGTAATAATAAGAATAAAAAAAATGCAAAAATACCACCTAAGCCTTAAATGCATAGCACAATTGCCTAATTTGAAAATCCAAAAAGCATCCTCTTATGGTCTTCCCTCTAGTCAATTCCACAACACAAAAAAAAAAAAAAAAAAAAAAAAAAAAAAAAAAAAATCCCTGGCCCCTTTTTACCCTATTTTATTCCACAAGATAGTGCTGGGATAAATAAAAAATACCCACCTTTTTTTTGGGGGTTTATCCCAACACTATCTTTTACTTTATACATTCTCTCTCAACCCGCTTCCAAAAAAATTTCTCACATTTAGCAAATTTTCTTAATCTCTGAGCCAAAACAAAGTGCACCAATTTGTTTGCGGACGCAGAAATCAATTTACAAGAGTCAATGAGAATCCAACCTGATTAAGAAATATGATGAGTGTTTTTGATCGACATAATGAGTAATGAATCCTTTTGAGTGCCTTGGTCATTATTTTTGAAAGGGCATCGGGTTCACCAGTTCCAATTTCACCATCAAGCTCACACTGTGGAACAAGAGCTGCTACCTGCATAATCCTAAGATCAAGCACCACATTCAGTAAAAAAAAAAAAGTGGTCTTTTTTCGTGAAAGGAAGAATTTGGGGACAAACATACAGATAAAAAATCAGGATACATAGCATTTATATAGGATTACAAGTTTACAACCGAAGAGCAAAGCAACACATGTTGATAATAAACAATATAAGAAAACATAAAAGAAGGTTATCACTTACACTATCAACCACAATCACATCTAATGACCCACTTTGGGTCAATTTATCAACTACACTAAGCATGTTCTCAGCTGAATCTGGACATGATATAAGCAGATTCTTTGTATCAACACCAATGGCTTCAGCAAGCATGGGATCCATAGCATTTTCAGAATCAAGATATGCACAAAAACCTGCAAGGGAATTTTTTTTAAGGATGTTATCCATTGGACTCCAGATAAACAGAGATAAATCACCAAGCTCACAGGACATATAGCATGTATAATTAAAGAAACACAGCATAGGAAATTTGGTAGATAATCATATCAGAAGAGTATTCAACTACCACAAGAAACTGCCTAATAAGACTATCCCCAGGTTATCCACAAGAATTTTTGGATTGCCTTTTATAATTTTCAGACATCCAAAATATCCTTTTTTTTTTTTTTTTTTTTTTTTTTACATTTTCTAAGACAAAAATAAAATTTTATTAAAAGTAAAATATTAAGCATTCACCTTTCAAATTTTTAAATATCCGGAAAAAATAAGATATGTGATCCGAAAAAACAGATGTCTGATTTGGTTTATAATATTCGGATATTTTGGATAGGATATCAATTTTTTTTCAGATTGGATTGGATATTTAATTTGGCCACAACCCTGCTCAGATTTCAAAACACCAAAACAGAATAAACATATCATGTCAAACTAGACTGAGAGTTGCACAAATCTCACTAATTATAAAGGTGAGCAGGCGTGCTGTTATTGTGAAACATGGATGTGAAATAACAGCCATAAAATGACTTGTTACCAACAAGAAGAAAAATTATGGAAGAATGAGAGACACTTCATACCTCCAAGCTTTTGGGCTTCTTTAATCACATGAAGTGCAAGTGTTGTTTTTCCAGAGGCTTCCTTTCCAAAAATCTCGACAATTCTCCCCTATTCAACAAATAAAACTCTCTTGAGGAAGATGAGGATCTTTTTTAGTGGGAAAAAATATAACACTTCCATCTCCTTGAAAGAGGGGGAAAAATATTTAAAAATTGTCATTCAGTACAAATTCATGAACCTAGTAACGTCTTCATGGTTAAAAAGTTAATAAATTCAAAGGAGGTCAAACCTTTGTAATTTGTCAAATTGAAAATTCTGATCAAACCATAACACATCAACAAGAAAGTGGTTATCAACTTGGCATAGGTGTACTGATCATATTAAGCGAGAATTCTATTAAAGATTGTAACAAAACCAAAAACATATGAAAGAATCAATGCAGTTGGGGGTTTATTCTCGATTAAATAATACTCCCTTTATTTCAGAATAATGACACACTTTCCACTTTTGGCTGTTTAAGAATACTTTGCACAGTACCATAATTGGAAAGGGAGCACAATTACTAAATTGTAGTCACCAACTTCTCCTACTCTCGCGTAACCTTTTTTATAACAAAATTAACAATTTAAAATAAATCCACTAACTTTACATTAAACAACTCATTTATGCTCCACGCACATCATTTTCTTAATTGTGTGTCCAAGGGAGCAATTCAATTTTCCAAAAGGGTGGGAGTAATGAATTCAGTTAATTTTGATCAGATCAAAATTTGAGCACGTTTAGTTGATAAGGGAACAATTAGGTTTGGCTCAAAAACATGTTATTTTATTTCTGGTGCAATTCAGATTTGATTAGATAGGGAATGGGCAGGCATTTTGGCCAAATCTAGGTCCAATCAATCATTCAACCTAGATCCTATCCACTCACATGAATCTCCAAACCTTAAAGAAAAATGAGTTCATAAAACCAAAGTATGCTAGATGAGAGTGTCATATCCACTTAATTCAATACCTTTGGTAAACCTCCTATCCCAAGAGCCAGGTCAAGCTTTAAGGATCCTGTGGATATCACTGAAGCGCAACGCGGAATAAAGAAATTTGGCAAAGATAGCCTGCACTCTTTCCCAAATTCACTCGCAAGTTGTGTTAGAGCACCATGCAATGCAGTGTGTTTCTCCTTAGCAGCTCTGTCATCTACAAGTTCATCAAATTCTATTTCTGATGCATCATCTGCAAACAAGAATGCAAGGAATCAATACTTGAGGGAGGGGCACATTAGTCATAGCCTATTAGTAGTGTCTTGAGGAATAAGTTAGAGTTAGTTATGAGACTTTTTCTATAAATAGGCCTCATTAGGAGGAATAATGATCATGCTGAAAATATTGTTAAGCTTTGCTTAGTTTTGGAGAGCTGCTCTTCCTCTCGAATGAAGAGTGATTGTATTGTTTGATTACTCTGATCATCAATACGAATATCTGATACTTAGCTAATTTTTTTCTGCTTAATCATCTTCCTAATCTCTCTGATCTGAGCTAATTCCTAGCAAACTTTTGATGTCAATATTTCACAAGGGATTTACAGATTTTACTTCCTCCATTCAGAAGCTTGCTACAATTATTTCTACAGGAAACACTAAATAGAGCAAATCACAAGGCAAAAGAGTTTTTCCACTAGAGGACATTAGCCTTATTTGTGTGTTATAGCTGAGAAAAATCATATTTGAAATAAAAAATAAGTAAAACTTGAAATTGCTGCTTATGAGGGAAAGACAGACAAAAGCCATTAAACATAAATCAACAAGTTAAGATCTGGCAAACTGGTTTATAACCAAAGCTAGTTAAGAGAGCCTGAGGCACTATACCTATAGCAGATGGAAAGCAGGCCTGTAAGTCGTCGGAAGGAGTGCAGCTTTCAGGTTCCCAATGCTGAAAAATATAGAGTATGCATTACCTATCAATATAGCTAAGAATATAGAACACATACTCAAATGACAAATAATTAATAGAATCGTGTAAGATCTGCTAGAGACAAACAAATCAGGAAAAAGGTGAAGGACAATATTACAAAAGTGACAGTTGATGGTAGTTCCAAAAATTACAGTAAATCAGTTATCAAAATCATGACATCACAAGTGACTGGTACAAAAGATCCGAGGCATCGAATATATGGGATTCTATCACGTGAAATACTTGTTAAAGTTAATTTTATACGTCTAACATCATGGATTGAGAAAGTACAAGAAAAATGACTTGAGACAAATAAAATATAAACAAAGGACCAAAGCATATAATCAAGTGATAAATGACAAATAACTAGTTGAAAGCACTTTATGTGAAATGTGAATAACACTTTCAGAACAACAAGGTGGGGAAACCATGGTTTGGATCTCCAGGGACAAATTTTCTACTACACATAATGACAACACACTATCGGCAACTTTGTGATGGTCAAAGGTTCGATACTTCCTAACAAACCAATTAATCGATTATTCACATAGACAAGATGATAATTTTCTCACCAAGAATGTATCAGTTGAATTTTGGACGCACAATACACGGAGTGACCATTAACTTAATTCTTCATTGATTTTTTTTTAAAAAAAACGAGTAATTTTTCCTTCTTTGTCTTCCTCTCGTTTTTGTTTTGACCATCTAACGCGTTTAATGAAATGCAAACTTCTAAACTTAATTCAATCATTAATGATTTCATGAACAAAGCTTCCTATCGGTCATTAAACTAGCACTTTTGCCATTCAACTACTCATTCTTTCGTATTTGAAAGTATATTTCATTCTCTATTCATCCCCAACCAACGTCAATCCTTATTATTCGAAATTTGGGGAGATTAATACCAAAACTATGTACACTAGCTAAAGTTGTGCTCGGTTTTATAAGTTTTAATATATCAAAAAAAAAATACTAACAAAATTTGTTCTGCATAATAATGATAATCAGAAATAAAGCAGACAAAATGCTTAAATTCTGGCAATTTCTGCTAATTATAATATCGGAATTTGCACTAAAATCATTCAATAATTCAAAAATAAAAAAAAGGAAGAAAAGAAGAGAGAGAGAGAGAGAGAGAGAGAGAGAGAGATATACCAGTGTTGAGAAAGAGGAGAGGAATGAACGGCCATGAATGACTTTGCTGCAGTAGCGAAATGAGCGAAACAATTGAAGGCTCATGCTTCAATTGCAAAATCTAGGGTTTTGGGAAATTTTAATGTGGAAAGAGGAAGAACTGAAGAAGGCATTGGGGTTTATCTATTTTGGACTGCCGAAAAAAGGCGCCAATGTTTGCCAATGTTATAATTTGGTAGGACCGTATGACTCAAAAACCTAAAGTCAACGAAATAATAATCAGGTAATTCTTGATGGACTGACTTATTGTTGACGGATCAAGTAACCCTTGACCGATCACATAACCCTTGATCATGTAACTTCGGGCACATAATGTGGTCAGCCACATAACTTTTTTTTAAAAAAAAAATTTATTTGTGAAAGAATAGTAACATGTCATGTTTTCTTTATAACTATTGATTTGACTAGAAATGATTTTTTTTTAGAAAAGACATTAGCAAGATTTTATTCCAAATCAAACTCTGCAAGAGCTAAAATGCTTTGCTGGACGTTACCAAAACATACAAATTCATCACTACCACGGGTATCCTAATATTCTATCGAGCTACAAGATGGGCAATTGTATTTCCTGCTCTATGTACATGATATTAAAACACATGATGAAAAGTCTTGGCAAGACAATTATATCATCATAGATCAGCCAATTAGGAGAAAGATCATTCTTTGCCTGTTTAATCTTGTTCACCACACCTTTAGCATCACTTTCAACCCACACATGCACAAGGCCAAAGCGCTTAGCTACTTGACCTGAAATGACTTACTTCAATATTAGCTTGAAGTCTCAACTTGAAGTGCACCTAATTTGACAATTATAAAACAAAATCAAACTTAAAACCTAGATTTGATCCGTTTTAAACTTAAACGGCACCTAAAATGACCCAAACCCGATCAAGATGACTTTAGTTGTTAGGTCCATATTCCTAGTCAAACCATGGCACAGGCACAATCTAACCCTCGTTATTATCGTGGAAAACTATTCAACTCCGTTCTGGTGGTAGTTAACACCTTTCCATTGAATTTATTCCACGCATTTATACCCACGCATTTCAATTTATTTATTCCCACACTTTCCAATTTCATTGTAAACCAATTTCCACAATTCAGCCAAATCCAATCACAAATATTTTCGATCGATTTTTCAATCCAAGATCGTAAAAATGGCAGCAACAATCTCTCAATTATCATGCTCCTCTTACATCAGCCGCAATTTTCATCTCCAACAACGCCGATCGTCGTCGCTATTCTTCAATCATCGTTCAAAGGTACCAAATTGTTCATCAAAACCCTAATTTTTCGATATTTTCTCGTTTAATTTCATTTGACAGCTTTATTTATCCTTCAATTTGAGATCTTTACGAAAAATGTTCAACATTTCATATAATTTGTAGCAATTATGAATTTTTGTATGCAATTGTAACTTAATGATTTGTAGCGATGTAGATCAATCAGCATAATAATTATGCTTTGATTTTGATGTAGATGTAATTAATTATTCTAATTTTGTTGCTATAATAGGTGAAATTGATGTTTATGTTGATACTGATCTATGCATATGGTTGATATTCATGTAATTTTGTTGAAATAATACTGATGGTGGAAGGTACTTTGATAGTTATCAGTTGTTAGGAGCGTTGAAGGACAGGATGCTGAAACCTCTAGTTCAGGCAACATGCCTAAGCTAAGTTATGCGGCTGATTTATCGAGCCCAACCGTGGAACCGGTTGAGAAATCGTATCCTGAGACAGAGGAACATGTTAATGGAAAAATTGGTGGGAATGGAACTTTGATTCCGGATGTCGTTGAGCAGAAGAAGGCGGCTAAGATCCACGACTTTTGCTTCGGTATCCCTTTTGGTGAGTGTGTGTGTGTTTGGATATTTCACATTTTGATTGTTAAGTTTAATAGATTCTCAATATATTGGAAATTCGGCAGTAGGCACAACATCTCTATTATTCTTGAGTTGATCACGTACATATAGGTTTGTGTGCTTGAAGAGCTCCCGTTAAAGACTTAAAGTTGCACATGATTAAAAAGCTATGGATATGGGTACGATCCCGAAACACTTGATAGATAAATACTTGTATATAATGCAATTATTTTAGAGAAATTAGTTTCATATAACAAGAATTTTTAGCTTTTAGGAGCATTATTAAGAGATTTATGACTCAAGAGTCACTGAGGTGGTAGGGATCCTAGACTTACCTGCAAAGTGCAGGTTTGAGGCGTTATTCTCAAAACTATAGTTGTAAGTGTGAAAATAGGTTACATATATGAAATTAATGTGGCCGCTGCACATTTTTGCAATTTGGCGAATATGCCTCACCTAGATCCTTCTAAGCCCTCGTGCTGCAGAGTTTAGGTGTCAAACACTGTTCAGGAGTAATTAATATGGGTTGGTTATGGTTTATTACCCAAAAAAGAGTAGATATTATCATTTGTTTTTGCGTTTGAGGCAGCAGAATAAACTTCAGGTTAATTGTGACTTTGTAACAGGTGGTTTCGTTCTCACTGGGGGACTTCTTGGTTCTATTTTTTCAAGGAACTTGGCCTCTCTTGGAACAGGTGTTCTTTTTGGTGGTGCTATTCTAGCATTCAGTATAATCAGTTTAAAGGTTTGGAAAGAAGGCAAATCAAGTTTCCCTCTTATTATTGGACAAGCAGGTACGCATATATATTGCTCTCGAAATACGTTGTATTTTCATTGACAAAGTTATTAATGGCCTTTTTGCTATTTATATGTTTTAATTTATTGGTAAGATATTAGACGACCAACCTGCTTCCAGAGGATATCATAATCATACTGGCTCATAAATTAGGATTCCTAACATATTTTAATCTTCCATGGACCAAATGTCTTATATGGGCAAATCTACGTGCTATGCGATGCACTTGCTGTCTTGGTTGTTGCTAGTTGGCCATTAGTTTACAGCAGGAGTGGCAGGGTGGGGGAATGTCTGAACCAGCTGCATCACAATTTGTCATTCTCATCTCTAATTGACCATAGTCACTTACATTCTTAACAAACTACTCCAATTTATAATCTGACTCATAGTTTACGTACATCATATATTACATTTTCTTGGTTTCATGACTATCACATCTGGTTTTGAACCCATTGCAGATGACAACAACAGACTTCCTGAACTATTGAAAGAACCAATTAAAATGAATGTCATTGTGTTTAAAGATTGATATCTCATATGAATTCCGATTTAAGAAGGAACCACTACAACCATTTCCTCACCTATAGGGTTTTCACTTTTCCATGGATATCAAACTACTAAGGGGCCCTTGGGGTCTTCAAGAAAGGTTAAGGAAATCAACGAGCTTGATTCCCTTAGTTTGTTTGTTTGGTTAGTTTTCCCACTCCCTTTCCCTTTCTTGTTTCCACCACCCCCAATGGTATTTCCAATCCCTTTCTTGAGCTGCCCCATACAACACCACACAACCATACCCACCAACACTACCACCAGCAGCAACGACCTCCACAACCGTCCAACTGCCACCATCACCTTCATCACCACCACAGGTACCACCCCACCTAACTACCTACAACCAGTGTCACACTCCCCAAACCTACATCCCATGCATCTTTGAAAACCCACCTCTTTGAAAACCCACCCCTTTCCACCATAAAACAACCAAACAACCAGCAACCATCCAATAACCCACAACCCAGAGAGGGGGAGGCAATGGAAGCAAGGTGAAGAGGGGCGAAATCGGTGGCGAGGCGGCTAGGTGAAGGGACGGCAGTGGTGGGAGCAAGGATGGGAGGAGAAAGAGCGGAGAAAGAAATAGGGTGTTGGTGCAATAGTGAAAGGAAAAGGAGAGGTGAATTACCAAATGTTACCAAACAACAATTCAAATCAAATGGTTTTGCTTTCCTTTCTCTCTCTTGTTCTTTCTTGACTCCATTCTGTTTACCCTGTGCAAACCAAATGGCCCCTAAGAGTCTCCTCTTTCCTCTTTAGGTCTACAACTCTACACACTATGTACTGGACTACTGGGCATGTAGCCTTTGAGTTGTTCCTCCAATCTTTCGTCATTATGACCAAAGAATAAAATTATTAATAATCGTTTCTGTTTATTTTATTTTATTTATTTATTTTTAATTTCTATACTCCGATTTTGTGTGAACAGCCAAGTTACCGCTGTCATTAATGACTTATAAACTTGATAGCATTAGACTGCTTTTTTCTTACTTACTGTATTGTCTTGACATCATGCATTTTTCTTAATGTTTCTATATCTTTGACTCTTGCATATTCTGTTGTTCAGTTCTTGCAGCAACCTTGTTGTGGAAGAACTTTCAGAACTACTCCGTGGTATGTGAATACTCATTAGTGCTTGCTAGGTTGTGACTGTCTAGTGCATTTAAGTTAATTTCGATTTACTCTATGTGTTTGCAGTCAAAGAAACTGTTTCCATCAGGACTTTATGTTTTAGTGAGGTATGTTGCTATTCTCACTGTTCATCTTTGTCATTGGTAAAGCTATGCTTTTATAAATGATTTCTTGCTTACTTGTGTCATGCTTATCACAGTGCGGCGATGCTGCTCTTTTATTCTTATGTGGTGATTTCTGGAGGAAATCCACCCCCAAAGAAATTGAAATCTGTTGCTGAAGCTGCATCATGATGAAACATTTTTGAGGTCAGATTGTACGTTTTGATGGTGAAAATGTGATTTTTGCTCCCAATCTTTTTTTTTTTCCCCTATTCCTCTGAATGTTATAGTAGGTATACTATTCTGACTTGATAGCAAATCCTAAAATATGAGTTTAGGTTACCTATAGAGCCCTTGGCAACGGCTAGTAATTATTTTAATGAACTCTATGTATGTACTAAGTAATTGGAGTTCTTTGATTTGGTATTGAAGTGTGATCACTGATGGTAGAGATCCAGCTTAGCAGGATTTGTGCAACAATATCTTGTAATTATGTTGTTTGACATTATTTATGTTACTATTGGAACCCATTTTGGACACTTGATCCTCTAATAAGGGTATGAAATCTTTTCTCAATACTTCTGATTCTAATCCCAAAATTTCAGTTATTTTGAAGCACTTTTATGTGAAGGTTTTTTTAAAATAAAATTAGAGAAAGATATCAAAAGAAAAACCATGCGACAGGTGATGTGCTTGAAATTGGGGTTGAGATAAGAAATCCAACCAGAAGCATGAGTTACACCTGAAGCATTGCTGAAAATTGTGAACCTAAAATGCCTAATTGTATGGTAAAAACCATGAAGTCTTTGAGGATTTGGTGTATGTTTCATCACTTCTTGAATGTCGTGCTCTCACAGGAGTCACACCTCTGTCTAATTCAAGAAGTGTTGGAAATTTTGCACCAAGTATACCTGACATTTGGATATCTATCCCATACCTGACACTTGGGTATATGTCCCATACCTGACACTCGGCAACCTAGACCTTATTTCTGCCTGCCCATCCATGGAAGTCAGTACTTATTGTTCTTCCCTTTTGCATTGTTAAATTAGTCAAAACTGCTGTGTAATTTGAGATGGAGAGAGAACATACCAGAAATCCATTTTCTAGAGGACCAGAAGGCAAGTTGATATATTGGTTGTTGGAACTCTAGATGGGGATAAAGAGGTTATGGCGCTACTGTGCCATGCTTAAGGGAGTTCATTCATGTCTTCATATTTGCTGAAATCATGCTTGTTGTAGTTGTTTTCAACTTGGAAGTTGGTATGTATCGGTCCGGAATGAGAAGTGGTGCTCTTGTGCTCAATACTTCAAGTGGCCTGCTTTTTTTTACAAAAAAATCACAGGTAGGGGTTTGTTTGTAGGTCACTTGAAATCTTGGAGACACTAGTATATACAACCAAATTCTTTCTACTTGCTTGAAACTAGCACTATTTGTGTTTTGTAAGCAATCGTGTTTGTTTGCCATTTCTACATGAAAATGACCTTGTACAAAACTCAAAGTGTTCCAACCAAGCCAGGATGTCGAATAAAGATTAAAGAGCCCTATAGGGGTCTTGGAATGATTCTCTTCTTGATCAGGTTTATCACATTTGGATTGTGACTGTTAGATTCAGAGGCACTCTCTAGGCATAATCTCGAGTTGCTAGGCTTTGGGTTGGGCTATATGTTACTAACGCTGTCACTAATTACATATTTGGTTGACGTATAAATGCATGAGAAGTTGATTTTCATATGAAGTATATGTTAGTAGCTCTACTTCTCAGCGAATTGAGGAAGCTAATGGACATTTCAACATCCTGGGATGCAATACATACCAGATTGACGGCTTTGAATACGGCTCTTATGCATTTTCCTCAATGCTTTGAATGCACTAGCTTTTATGCCATTTCTTCCATTATGTTGAATGCACTAGCTTTTATGCCATTTCTTCCATTATGCTACGTAAAAAACTCGCTTTTCATATGCATAATTAAGCATAGTGATGGAGAAAACAGAGTTGCACAACAAATTTCTTGTTCCATTTGTTATATATCATACTTTTCATAATTGGTTTGAGAATATGTTGAGGAAAACAAAAGATCTTTTTGTGATACATTTTACTAAATAAATCAAACCACTTGATCAATGTATTCAAGTATCACTCATTAGAATTTGATATTACTAGATTGCTTTCACCTAAAATATCCCAATTTCTTGACATCCCATCTTGGAAGGCGTGTCGTTTTGTTGATATAGAAGAGGAGAACGAAAATAAAATGAGGAGAACGAAGCTTAGAGGGATGATGCAATAATTATTGTTAACTATTCATATGCTTATTGTTGTAAAATTCCTTTTAGGGCCTGTTCACTTCAGCTTTGTTTTATTTTAGTTACATTAGTTCAGCTCCTAATTTCCTTCTCTCATAAAATATTCATTTTAGTTCAGTTTAGTACAATTCAGCTCCAATCAGTTCAGTTCAGTAAATATGAACAAGCCCTTAGTTATGTAAAAATATATTCCATTACTTGTATTGTTTATATAAACATATTTTTTTTATAATAAAAATATGTCAAAAGTTATGGCATACTTTATAACTTTATTCATGATTTTGTATGATAAGGCATACGAGTATACGACCTATGAAGGCTATGTTTTAATTTTCATCAATTCTGAACGTCAATTAATTTAAAATGAAAGATGTAACTCGATTGGACTTGGGCCACACGGCCCACATATCGCTGCCCACCACTTTTTCAAATTTTTCAAACAGGGCCAACATACAGAATGATCCCTATATTTTGAATTCAATAGTGTTTTTTTTTTTTTTTTTTGTATAACTTATTCAAATAAATTTACACAATAAGTTTTATATGTGGCTGAAGTTAGTTGGTCAGAGGTTACTCGGTCATGACTTGGTGAGTCAGGGGATACTCAGTTAATCAGATTTTATTCGGTCAATCAGGGGTTATTCGGTCAGTCAGGGGTTACTCAATTAGTGTTTTGGTATGTGTTAGCCGGCTACATGATGTGACCAGCCATACAAATAACGCTCAATTACTTGTAACTATGATAGGATTTGTGGAACATTTTATGTTTTGTTTTAATTTAGAGAAAGATAATACCAATACGAAGCACATAGGTTAAAAAAAAAAAAAAGTGAATGATTAGCTTTACAATAGAAGAGGAATTTGAACTAGTAATCAATTGTGCATACTACAAATCTTTGTGTTATTACTCTACAACTTTTGCTTGTTTAAAATGATAATGCATGATTGCACTTTAGGATACTTGGCAATTCCATTGATATCTTTTAGATTATAAAAGTATTTTTAACTTCTTTACTTTAAGATTCACCCCCCCCCCCCCCCTTTTTTCTCTATCCCAAAAATGATCATTATGTTCTAGGTGTAAAATGGAACCTAAACTATGTTAGAATATATATTGAATATGGAACTTAAGGATCATATATGGTCATAACTAGTTGGGCTTGGAGCCTTGGACAAAATCTCGAGTTAATACATATATATCGCATATTCTTAGGTGCACACTCATGCACCTAGAAATAGGTGTAACAACAACACAATATGAATATAAGCTTTTTAAAAAGTGAACATAGGCATAAAAAAATATGAACATTAGCTTTTCAAAAAGTGAACATAGGCATAAAAATGTGTGATTTTCGATTTCTTATGTGGTGACTTTGTGATTAACTTCGATTGATTAGGTTATACTACCTCCGTTAACATTTAGTTGCAACTTTGAGGTATTATTTGAGAGACATAAAATATTCCAAAGTTGCAACTAAATGTTAACGGAGGTAGTATATGATTTTCTTAATTCCAATGAATTGAATTTTATCTGAATTTCTGCATTTTTTTTATATCAATGAACATAATCATGCAAAATATGAACATATGCATAGGTTCCCTTAAATGTGAACATTAGCTTTTCATAAAGTGAACATAGGCATAAAAAATATGAACTTATGCATTTCAGAAAGTGAACATAACATTTCAAAATATGAACATAAACATTTAAAAAAGACAACATATGCATAAACAGATTTAATTTATATATCATGAACAACACATATTTACATTATGAATATTTAAAATTATATATGAACATATAAAATATTATTATGAATATAATGCATTTAATTATGAGCATAAAAATTTGAAGAAATAAAAAATAATATGATTATGAAACATTAGCATTAACTAAGGCATCTTCTGATTTACTGAATTGGACAAATTGGAGCTAAACTGAACTGAATAGAACTGGAATGGATTGTATATAAGATAAGGAAATTAGGAATCGAACTGAACTGGTTGAAGCTGCACCGAACTGAAATTAAGCCGAAGAGAATTCGCCCTAAGATGTTGCACACCTAATCCAGCGAAGGGTAGTGTTAGATTTTACCATGTTTTTTTTTATGGTTTTGTTGCTTGCTTGACCGAGCAAATACCAATTTGATCGGGCGGAATTCAAAATTGACTATTTGCATTGTTTTGGACAATTTGCTGTGTGACCGGCATCTGCATTTGTAGCTCTTGAAATTGTCATTATAAAATTGAATTAATATGTTTTGAATGTTAATTAGTCATTGGTTTGGGTGGTCCTAGTGCTGTCAAATTTCAAACCGAAATCGTTTAACTGTCCGAAACCAACCGACCCAAATGAGAATCGAACCGATTAAAAATCGATTTTGTAAAACCGAAAACTGACCCGAACCGTATTTAAGTAAATCCGAAACCGAACCGATCCGAATAATGTCAAACCGTATAAGAACCGAACCCGTTAACAAACCGAACCAGTTCTAAACTGAACTGAAATCAAACCGAACCGAAAAAGAACCGAACCGTTTCTAACCCGAAACTGTTTCCAACCCGAAACCGTTTGAACCTTATTGTTAACAAACTGCAACCCGTTTGCACCGAACCGTTTATAAGCCGAACCACTTACAAATCGAACCGTCTATAAATCAAATTGTAATTTCGATGTCACAATAACTCATCAAATCATGATTATGACACATCAATTAGATGATTGAATAAGAAGCAGCTAATAATGTGATAGTAAAACAATAATAATTCATTAATACACTAAACTTTTATAATCTACGTTACTTCGTAATAAACTACTAAGATCAGTATGACTAAACTTGAAATAACATGATATGTATTTTTTAAATCGATGGGAATTTGTATATAATATAATGTCTAATGACTAAATATGAAGTGATGAAGTATTAGCTTGATATAAAACTTGTTAACCAGCAAAAGGTTAGCAAGTACTATGAAATTTCAAATCAAAATCGTTTAACTACCCAAATCCAAACGACCCAATTAAAAACCGACTTTTTGAAATTAAAAAACCGTTTCGAACCATAATTTAGCACACGTAAAATGAAACTGACCCGAATAACATTCAATCGTATAAAAGGAGAACCCATTAACAAACCGAACCAAAATAAAGCTGAACCGAAAAAGAACCGAACCGTTTGTAACTCGAAACCTTTTCCAACCCGAAACTGTTTGAATCGGTATAAAAACCGTTTACACCGAACCGTTAACAAACCGTAACCCGGCAGCA